TAGGAAAAAATCCGTAATTTTTAGTGGATTACCGGAAAAATAATTAAATTTTTCTTAAAGTTTTTTTTTTTTGGAGGAAATTATACCAAATATATGGAAAATAATCAAAATTAATCCTTGAAAATAATCAACTAATTTTTTGATTAATTTTGATTTTTTTTGATTATTTTCATTAATTCCAATTAATCCCTGATTATTTTTAGATTATTTTTAATCGTAATCAATAATTAATTAAAAATATTGAAAATAATCGTTAATTAATCATTAATTTCACCTTTATAATAAAAATAATCTAATTAATAATGATTACGATTATTAAACATTATTTTACAGCTATGGTTTAAATACAGATTCTTGTAACAAAAAATATTATTTTTAGATACCCCAAGGGGTCTTTTAAGTCCCAATATCAAATTTTTGTTTTATCTCTGGAAAAAAGGAGAAAAATTTACAATTATGGCCAAAAATCGCCATTTTAATGATATTACATGAAAAGAGGGTACAAATTCCCCAAAATTGTGGACCAAATGAGCCAAAAATATATCCTTTCCGTGGATAGTAACCCCTTAAAACAATATTACGCATAAAAAACATTCGATTCTAAAATTTGTGTATCGTATAATATGATCAAATATGAAATACCGGAAAAATTCGTATACTTTTGTAAGGCAATTTCATGGACTTTTTTTAAAAAAGCACAATTAATTTAAGTCAATGCAAATTTTTCAAGTTTTAAAAAGCGTGATATCAAACATAAGGACTATCTAGACAATATAACAAATTAATTTATTTATTTTGCACACAAAATATATTATTAAATTTGGTTTCTTTTTATTGTTTACCCAAATTCGAATAATTATGAGAGACACTGTATTTAAAATTTAACTACTAGTTATCTAAATTGCATTTCGCTTTAATACAAGTTATGATATTAGTTCGTTTAAATTAATAGACATCAGTTTTCTGCAGGGGAACTACTTAATAATAACACCGGTATCCATAAAATTATGAATGATTTGTTCATTATTTCCATGATTCCCATTGATCCAAATCTAAAATAAATTTTAAAATGTTATGTGTAATGTTAACTGTTAATGTATTATATTTACAGTATTAATCAGCAGAATTTAGAATTTAGGGACCGAGTTTTGAAATATTTAACCTTTCATAATTAATTTTTCCAATTTACTGACTATAATTTCAGAACGTATACAAGAAAATGACAAAAATGTAAAACAAAATTCCAAATAATAAAGAAACATGAGAAAACATGTCGAAACAAAATGCTCTCCAGATACTTTTGGGGTACTCCCGCATCATATGATAGTTAGCTTGTAGCTAGTCTTTAAAATTCGGTTGTTTACGTTAATAAATACCAAATTTTGGAACATTTCTGCATTACATAGTTGTTCGTTTATAGTCAGTCTACTAAAGTTAATAAATAAAATCATAATAATAAAGAAACAAGAGAAAACATGTTGAAATACAATTAATTCTCTCCAGATAATTTTGAGGCACTTCTGCATTATAGTTAGCTTGTAGTTAGTATTTAAAAGTCGGTTCTTTACGTTGCCAAATACAAAATTTCGGGACAGCTCTGCATTACATTGTAGTTAGCTTATAGTCAGTCTGTAAAAGTAAACTAGAAGTGAATTTTTCTCGTAGTCGACTACAAAATTGCTGGTAGGGCTATAAGAAATGAATGACCGAAACTAACACATACAAAATGATTTTACTAACACACATGCAACATTCTTTTATAGAATTGTCGAAAAAAATTTTAATGGACGATTCCATCAACAATGACAGCCAAATGACCGGTCAAATGACTGTCACTGTGTTACAGAGTTGTATTAATTGTTTCACCGAGAGCCAAAGATCAAGAAGCAAAGAACTAAAAAGATTACAAAGTCTTTAAATTATTAAAAATAAACAGAATTATTATTAACTAAATTTTAAAAAAGTGCAGGAAGTGGAAGTGGATAACAATTCGGAGTTTAATGGTAACATAAATATGTACTTATGATTTTTATATTTCGATATTTATGTACAGACAACTTATTTCCACAAATTAATAGGAGCATCAAAGGACTTAAGATTCTACGAGACATGTAAAATGGTGAAAAGATTAGTATTTTATGTACATATACATATCATTACTATATTAATAAAATTAACATTCATGTGAATAAATTGGCGTTGTCGTTTGTCTGAGAAACTAATAGAACTAAAATCTTCAAATTTTGGGGAAAATGGGCGGACTATCATTAGGGGGGTTGGAACCTCCCATATGAAATAAGTAGAAAAAATCGTATGTCTGGGGAACTATTAGAGCAAAAATCCTTTGAAGTCAATGTGAACATTTTGGTAATATATTGGCGGACTTGCAAATTGGAACATCCCATATGAATTAAATAAAAAATTCATATATCTGAAAAAATATAAGAACTAGAAAATTTTACATGAAAAACTTCGACATTTATGTGAACATTTAGAGAATAATGGGCGGATTATCAATGGGATCTTGAGATCTCCCATATGAATTAAATACAAAATTCCGTATATCTTGGAAATTATTATATTATTCAAATTTTTCATAAAACCTAAATAAAAGTTTGGAAAAATTGGCGAACTTGCAATAATTTGCGTGGCATCACCAATATTTAAAAAATATATATATCTGAAATTCTATTAGGTATAATTAGAATTTTCAAAATCGTAAAGACTTTACACTTAGTGTTGTTTTATTTACATTGCTTTTAGGGTAGCAAACCACACTGGGTATAGCTAGTTATTTATAAAGTTTACAAGCTATCCAGTATCCACATCATTTTGGCAACTGGCAACGCAACTGAAGTGGCAACCAAGATATTGTTACGTGTCCTTCAATGAGTCATGACGAATCTCGTACTGACTAGCATAATGCACAACCCTTACTCACGGTGTGAGTACCTCCCTTCATCATGAACACGGACTGTACCAATAAATTTTCCTACAAATGTTTACTACCTTTACCCACCGAACAGAATACACCGAATCGAGGAGTTTGCTGTAATCTCCTTGGCCCTTTCCCCTTCCATGGTCACTCTACTATCCACGCTCTGTCATGATGACCCCATATTCGCTCCACACCCCACTTACCCTTAACCACTCACTCTAAAGGAAATAAATTTAGCCCTGCATATTTTCACTTAATTCTCAATACATATTTATTATTATTTTTATTATAATTATTATTATTATTATCGCAAATCTTACTCAAATGCTAATAATCTAGTACAAAACAAATAAATTACTTTTTTCATAAAATACCAAGACACAAATTTTGATTTTTTTAATGAAATAATAACTTATCTAAGACGTTTTAAAAATTTTCTATTTATAACGCTTTTATTTCCTTCCTGTTTATTTACCACAAGATATTCGTATGGGCAAAAATTAAGGTTAAGGAACACAATTATTATCATATGAATCCAATAGGGAATGATTTTTCGGTCGCTGGGAATTATATGTATACTTAATTTGGTTACCTGGTAGGAGTTAATGTAATTATAATAGTCGATTTACTCCTCTCTAACTAGAAGACTTAATCCAGAAAAAAAAATATCTGGTCTCCGAACGCCTTGCCTTGCTCAAGTAGGAGACCCGTGCGATATACTGGCAATATTAACTATGATTGCAAGGATTCTCGTTCCAGTACCTTTCCCAGTTCTCTGCGTCTTTTGTACCGAACAACCTTAACCGCAAAAAAATTTCTTTTTTTTTTGTAACGAACTATTATATTTGTTCTATATATCTTTTCTTTACCTTAATATATTTTTATAAATTTTCTTATTTATCCAAAACACTCTGTATTATGAACAGTTCAAATTTGTTTCACAGTTACAAAAGATTATTTTTAGGTTCTTTCTTTGAAATGTTCAGTTTATTGAAACATTGAACATTTAAATTATTAAAATTCAATTATTAAAAAATTATCTGGCTCTATGCGGTTTAAAGTCTTGTTTTCTTCAAAATGGACGAGCTGAACTCCCTATTTATACCTTGAATTTCCATTAAACGTAATCTTCCAAATTAATAGATATATTTTTGCCCTTCTATTTACTATTTTCTTCCTTTTTTAAGATATCTCCTATATCCGTCCTTCTTTAAATTTTAAATGTTTCCAGTTTGGTATAAATCTTGAATCTAAACATTGTTAAAACAAAAACTAACAAATGTTTCGGTCCCATTCATAAATACTTTTACTATGTTCTTTTCCCATAGTGTTTTACTTGTTTACACTCATCTGGCAACCCTCAATTTCTTTTTGTTTTTTTACTCATACAATAAACAGACCAACACACAAAAAAATATAAACAAGAGTTTCAGTCAGCATGGTAAGTACATTTTAATTGCTTTCCATTATTGTTTTCTTTTCAGGGTTATCTTATCACCGTCCGGATTGGTATAAAATATGGGTAAGTATCGTTCCTAAAGTTATTTTGGCAGATTACTAATGTTCTCTTTTTTTTCAGCAGAGTCCGGGAATGATTGTGGTGAAGCTCGGCCACTTGAGCGTCATTCCTGCCGCCGATGAGTCACCGGGATTGGCCATCCCATGCGAGAAAGTCGCTCATCACAACTAGAGCCGGAAAGAGGTGAGGTTAATTTTAATGGGCTATATTACATGTTCCCATTGGCTCTCCCCATACTAAAATGGCCTCTTTCCCTATATTATTGAATTTAAAGAAACTCTAGGGGCGGACAAGGGTAAAATTATTAAAATCTGTTGAGATTCCCCCCCTAGAAACTGTTTCCCCTAAGGACCCCCCACGAAAAATTTTTTCGACTGCAGAGACGTCGAGAATGGGGGGGGTTTGATTTATCGACATGTCCGTCCGCAACAATATACATATAATCGACCCTTAAGTAGTGCCGCGCGAAAAACTTGGAGTATGGTAGGAAATTTCGTATTGTTTTATTTTATTTTTATTGTTAAAATTAATAGCTTATTTTTGTTTTTAAATTTCTTCTTAAATTTTATTTAAAGAAATATATCACGCCAAAGTTGGTGTTCAATAAAAAAATATTTGTCATACTATTTGTAAGGCATCAAAATAGTGGTCTTAGATCTACAAAAGTATAATCTGATTCTTTACATAGAATTATTTAAGAAAAAATATCTGAACATCATTATCGATTATAAAAGATTTATCACTTTTACCATTAAATATTTCATAACTAAAGGATTTCTCTTCTTGATCATAGTGAAATTCATAGACAGTATTTAAACAGTTGACAGAGGACATGCATTTTTCTACATTTTCCAAAAATTCATGCAAGAATCCTGTACAAATTACTGGCTTCCAGAAGCGATCCTACAAATAGAATAATTCGTTTACATTTATGTACATACAGTGTCTCTCATAATTATTCGAATTTGGGTAAACTATAAAAAGAAAGCAAATTTAATAATATATTTTATGTGCAAAATAAATAAATTAATTTGTTATATTGTCTAGATAGTCCTTATGTTTGATATAACGCTTTTTAAAACTTGAAAAATTTGCATTGACTTAAATTAATTGTGCTTTTTTAAAAAAAGTTCATGAAATTGCCATACAAAAGTATACGAGTTTTTCCTGTATTTCATATTTGATCATATTATACGCAACACAAATTTTAGAATCAAATGGTTTTTATGCGTAATATTGTTTTAAGGGGTTACTATCCACGGAAAGGATATATTTTTGGCCCATTTGGTCCACAATTTTTTAGGAATTTGTACCCTGTTTTCATGTAATATCATTAAAATGGCGATTTTTGGCCATAATTGTAAATTTTTATCCTTTTTTCCAGAGATAAAACAAAAATTTGATATTGGGACTTAAAAGACCCCTTGGGGTATCTAAAAATAATATTTTTTGTTACAAGAATCTGTATTTAAACGTTCCAAGATAAATTATTCGGATCATTTTTCTGTCGCTAATTCAATATATTGGAACTTAAGTCTATTTTTATAATACTAGGATCAACTATTTTCCGGGCAAGTTTTCTGGTATATATTCTTTTAGATATCAGCTTTTATACATTTTAAGTTTTCAATGTGTTGTGGAAGTGTACAACTCCAAAACATGCCTCGAAGAAGCACCATTCAAAATAGTAAAATCATTATTTTTATATACCAATGGCCTCCATGCTGCATGGCACGATATCATTATGATCACATCAAAAATGTTGATATGTGTTTAAATATTATTTACTATGATCAAATTAAAACCAAAATTTAGGACTTACAGTGTTATTGTAACGGGCAACATAAGCGTGAAAGTTACGAGTAGTAAAAACTGAAATCTACTATATAGGATGACGTTTTGTTAAGGCATGTTTTGGGGTTGTATACCGCTATAATATATTGAAAATTTAAAATACATTAGTGCCAATATGTACATGAATATACACTAGACAACTTTGTCGGAAAATATCGTCCCTAGAGGTACGAAAAGGGACTTATGATCCAGATAATACAATTAGAAACTGAAAAACGATACCAAAAATATATCTTGGAACTTTTAAGTACAGATCCTTATAACAAAAAATATTATTTTTAGATACCCTATGGGTTCTATTAAATTCCAATATTAAATTTTGGTTTTATCTCTGGAAAAAGGGTGAAAACATTACAAATATAGCCAAAAATCGCCATTTTAATGATATTACATGAAAAGAGGATACAAATCCCCCAAAATTGTGGACCAAATGGGTCAAAAATATATCCATGCGGTTAATAGTAACCCCTTAAAACAATATTAAGCATAAAACCATGCGATTCTAAAATTTGTGTATCGTATAATATGATCAAATATGAAATACAGGAAAAATTCGCATACTTTTGTGAAGTAGTTTCATGGACTTTTTTAAAAAAAAACAGAACTAATTTAAGTAAATGTAAAGTTTTCAAGTTTTAAGGGGCGTGATATCAAAACTAAGGACTATCTAGACAATATAACAAATTAATTTATTTATTTTCCACACAAAATATATTATTAAATTTGGTTTCTTGTCATAGTTTACCTAAATTCGAATACTTATGAGAGACACTGTATGTATAATTTTTCATATTAATTTATTACCTTGGGCAAATCTTTTGCTTTGTTGTGTTCTATGGGTTTTTCTATAATTCCATGACGATTTTTATAGCCGATATACAAGTCTTGGACATTAGCTAAATAGGATTGCAACCAAATTCTTAAATATTTGGTGTCCTGATCTTTATATGACCACCACATTTGTTTGGTGAAAACAAAACGACAGTCATTAAGTGTCCGAGCATCACTAAAAATGTTAAATATTACAAATTGACCTAATAGGTACCTAGTTGTCGCATAAACTAATGATGTGTACTTACAAATCCTCAATTTCTTCATTGGAAATGATACCTTGCATTTCGCCTGAGTAAATAATATCATATTTACCAAAACTACTTCGATGTACACCAATTTGATAAAAGTTTTCATCAATTGGTTCATACAATATTGGTGGAATATCAGGTGCATCTAAAAAAAATTAAACTATTTTCAGTGGCAGAGAATTTGATTTTACAACTTTTTTTCTAAAAAACCCACCTGAAAATATAAATCTCTCCAAATGTTTATGATGTGTATGAACCGGATTCAATTCACTATCTGACAACTCCTTTTGATCCAAAATCATATACAAATTGCCATTATAACGTGTTACCCTTATGGTTAAATCAGTAATTACGTTATTATAATGCGTTTCCATTAATCTGACTAATGTACCACGACGTGTAATTACTTTTGTTTTTCTCATATTCTTAGTATCATCAAGGTCATCCGAAAGCGAGTCATAATATATAAGAGATGGCTTAATTTGCCTCGAAAGAGACACAGTTTTGGGCATTGTATATTCATGAAAACCCTTATTTAAGTCCATTGGATATGACAATGTATCTGGATGTTTTAAATATTTAATACTACTGGCTTTAACTATGAATCCATCCAGATAGTCGTAGTACGCCACCAACTCAGGCTTTTTAAAGTATACACAATTTTCCTCGAATTTCTTTAAAGTTTCTGGAGTTATTTTATATAAAAATAATAAATTTGTTGATTTAGACGCCATAATATTTTCGTTCTTTGTTTTGGAACTAGCACGGATTAATCATCAAGTTGTTATGTGTAAAATTTGATAGTCTATGATAAAATGTATGCGCCATTGCTTCTGCTTTGTTATAAGGGGATTCCTTTTTATGTTTATCTGTTAATTCCCAAATTGTATTAATAGCACGGACCAAGGTATATTAATTATAAGGTAGTGTTAACAGAGCAGCTGATTGTTTTTTGCTAATACACTTTGGATTTTTTATATGTAGTTTGACAGTGTGCTGGCACTTTGAAGTGTAGGCATGCTGTCAAACTCCATATATAAAAAATAAAATGAACTCGCTCCGTATTTCTGAATTCGCCGACGACACTACCTTATAATTAATATATCTTGGCACGGACTGATTATATTTTTTAAACTAGACAAATGCAGAAGTATACCCGTTAATAAAACAACCTTTTGATAAAAACAGCACACAAACAGACAGCTGTTAGGCTGTTTGTTTGATTGTTGTGTGGTGAGTTTCTGTAAAAACGTAAACAAATGAAACAAAAACAAATTACTAGACATATTTTGTGCTAAGAAAAATTTATGTATTTCAATAATGTTTTATAGCCAGTGTAAGTGTTCTTGGTGTACACCATCTACCCCAATAATAATCCCGGTTTCTTTAGAATCAAGTATTTTTAAAACGGCCATATATAATGTGCAATTCATTCTGGTTGATAGTCACGGAATCTATCGGAGATCAACCTAAAAAGATAAAAAAGGGGTGGCTTTAACTTCTTGTTCCGTTCATATGGGGCCAGATTCGAGCTTCATCGTATCAGTTCGCCAGATACCTCATTTGTGTATATTGCAGGGTCCTGGTACCCAACACATCCTTATTGTAAACGGTCTCATAATAACACTTAGATCTTTTCTTCATTCTACGACTATGCAAGAATACAGCTATGACATATTAATGCTTTAAGTGCAACCTAAAATCTTACCAGAGACCGGCGAACAATGTGATTCCCTATTAGTTCCGTCACTTTCAAGATCGTTATTCGCCACTTGGAAGACACAACCCATCAGGGAGTCAAGGAACTTTTTACAACGTTTGTAACACATCGAAATATTGGTCTAAAATCCATAAAAGTATAGACTGGGGTCTTAGCCAATATTTGCCAAAATATTTTTAGTTAATGAAGTTTATTATTGAGCTTCAATATTCCAGTATAGCGAAGTTTTATAGGAACTAAAATCCTTTTGCCAAATTTTATGAGGATCGCTTCATATTTGACACAGCTTTCATATAAGGTACCTCTCAGGAAATTATTTTATTGATTTATATGATCCAAAACCTTTCTGTGTTGGTCGAAAATTGACCCTACCCCCATATAAGTTCCCCTTCAGAAAAAGATATTAACTCCAATAATTGTAATAAAAATACCAATATTGCAAATAAATTCCACATAAACAAGGAGTCAAAATTGTTTTGTCAAATTTAAGGGGATCGGTCCATAATTTAACCTATCCCCGATATAAGGTCCACCTCGGGAAATTACTACCGCTCATAACTGGCTTAAAAAATGTATAGCTATACAATTCGACATAACAACTTTTATATGAAACAAAATTTCGGTCCACAGTTGACCCTAGCTAAAATCGCAAACAGATTATGCCATCCGATTTCTACACTTCCAACTTAAAGTTCTATATATGTTTTTATCGTACACAAGATTGTCCGATAGCAGTTATATATAATTTTCTATATACGGCTATAGTCAATTTTTTTTGTAAAAAAAAGATTGTTGCTGTAGTACACACCCTAGAACGATGAAATCCACAAAACAGATCGTCCGATAGCAGTTATATATAATTTTCTATATACGGCCATAGTAACATTTTTTGTAAAAAAAAAGTTTGTTGTTGTAGTACAAAACCCTAGAACGATGAAATCCGGAAAAAAATGTATGTCGTCCGATTTCTACACTTCCAACTTAAAGTTCTATATAGGTTTTTATCGTGCACAAGATCGTCCGATAGCAGTTATATATCATTTTATATATACGGCCATAGTAACATTTTTTGTAAAAAAGAAAAGTTTGTTGTTGTAGAACGATGAAATCCAGAAAAAAATTTATGCCATCCGATTTCTACACTTCCAACTTAAAGTTCTATATAGGTTTTTATCGTGCACAAGATCGTCCTGTAGCAATTATATATCATTTTATATATACGACCATAGTAACATTTTTTGTAAAAAAAAGTTTGTTGTTGTAGTACACACCCTAGAACGATGAAATCCGGAAAAAAAATGTATGCCATCCGATTTCTACACTTCCAACTTAAAGTTCTATATAGGTTTTGATCGTGCACAAGATCATCCGATAGCATTTATATATCATTTTCTATATATGACCATAGTAACATATTTTGAATGTTTTTTATTAAAAGGCATTCTGTAACGATATAATCCCAAATATATTTATATTTTATCAGATTTGTTCCTTTCCACAATTATATACATATTTTAATTGATCAAAAATAATTTTTTTAAAGTAAATCATGAAAATTCTTTTTTTTTTGAGTCTTTTCCATAAACACATTGAAAATGTAAATAATGAAAACGAGTTTTTGTGTCTTTTCCACATGCAAAAACACATATTTGTAAACAAAAATAACTCACCACACCAAAAAAAATGTTTATTTTGATAAAACAGCTGTTACGGTTTGTTTTATTTTTCGTCGGGTTGTTTTCTTTATGTGCATAAATACAACTGTCAAAATGTCCCATTTCGAGTTGCCAGATGCCCAAAAAATCATTTGTTTACATAGGGTTAATTCAATTCTCACGATACTAAAATAATATAAATTTATAATTAAACGAATAATTGTTTCATTAAAATTCACATTATATGTTTATGTATATCTTAAACAGAATATTTTTAATGAAAACTGTTTAAATTTTAGTAATAAAAAACAAGGGTATTTTCCATTTAATTTTGTAGTAAAATCTTTCTAAGAATATTATATGTATTTGTAACACGTTATAAAATAAGTATTTTTATTTTAGTCTAATATTATACTTTTTTGCAATTGTAATTGATTACATACATTACATTTTTAGTTGTAATATACATATGCATGGTATAAAAAATATTAGAAGGTAGTTTCAATTTCTATTTATGTCAGCCTGATTAACCATCTGACAATTAACCCTACAAGAAATGTATGACCGAAACTAAAACTCTTGAAACATTTTTTTATAAAATTGCTAAAAAAATAGTTAATGGATAATTCCATCAATAATGACAGTCGAATGACCGGTAAAATGACTGTTGATATACCCAATGTGTGGTAAAGGGTTTCATTTGCATATGAAAGAGTGAAACAACTACATTTGACTGTTACTGTGTTTTAAAGTTATATTTTTCGACGTTATAAATTATTTCTGTAAAAGCCAAAGATCAAGAAGCGAAAAATTTAAAAATTTACAAAGACTATAAATTATTAAAAATAAAGAGAATTATTATAAACAGAATTTAAAAATAGTGCAGGAAGTGGAGCTGAAGATAAACACTTCGGAGTTTAATCAATCTATGGTAACATGATTACTTACTTTTAATTTTTATATTTCGATATTTATATGTATTTCTTACAGACAACTTATTTCCACAAATTATAAGGAGCATCAGCGGATTTAAGATCCTGCGAGGTATGTAAAATGGTGAGATGATTGTTAATTTATGTACCTGCTTATTATATTAATAAAATTAACAAATATATATCTTAAAATATTAATAAATTGTGTTTTATTATAAATTGGTATAGCCGTCACATTTGACGGATATATTCATCAAATATGATTAGTCAACAATGACCTATAAATACATCATTTTTAATTTGTTAACTGTGATAGATATATCCATCAAGCATGATCAGTCAATCCTGACTAATATTTATGTCATATGTTAGTAAACAACAAAAGAGTGAGCAGCTCAAATATATGTTTTAAAGTCGATGGAATTCATAAGTGCAAGGGAGAAGAAAAAGCACATGTACACAAATGTTTCCATCACTTTTGTCCATTTGCCTTAAGAAACTGATAGAAACTTTGCTTTACGCTGTGATAGAAATAATACATCAGTAGTGCCAGTCAAATGACCGATCAAATGACTGTCACTGTTCTTGTAGGGAAGGCAATTTAAAGTTTATGTTAAAAGTAATGCTACCATATTAATAATATTTAATTCAATTTTTCATATATTTAAAAAAATATATAAAATAAAAATATTTTCTTTAAAACAACCACAATTTAATCAACAAAATAATTTTCAATCAAAAATAATAAATGAGGAGCGAACCATGTGGAATACTTAATGTAGGTTTACTGCGGCAATTTAATAAATTGTTAAGAGAGCAAGAAGCATTTCATGCCATGCGAAAACAAAATGCAGATGCAGACAGGAGTCTCTTCTTTTAACAATGACATTTTTCGGTGTTCTTTTTCTCAAAGAATGTTTCTTTATTATTGCTTTTGTTGCATTGTGGAACAAGCCATTTACGCATGTTAAGTTTATTAAACCCATCATCAAAAATTATACATAAAGTCTCTATCAATCCCTTGTTAATAATTGTAAAACCAAAATAGTATATATATGTATGTATATGATCCCTAAGATGATATAGACATGTCTGTCCGTCAATTAAATCATGATAGGGAGAGTCCATTATATGACCGAAATTCCAAAGTGTAATACATGTTTTGATTTTGGTTATATACGATTCGCTCTAGCCGAATTTAATACACATTCTGTTAACTTATATGACCGATCTTGGAAGTGATGTTATTCCGGAAATAACATTCCTGACTAACACTGATTGGAAGATTCTTAGGAATTACGTTCAGGAAATTGAGTTTCTGAACACTGAAAAATAATTCTTTCAGTTTTTTTTCATGATAAGGAGCGCACAACAGGCCCGATAGTGGCCTAGGTGTATTTCCTCGGATTTGATGTAGTATACATCCTCTTATCGACCTACCTATATGGCCGAAATTCCAAAGTGTAATACATGTTTTGATTATGGTTATATAAGATTCGCTATAGACGAATTTAATACACATTCTGTTAACTCGAAATAATGAAAAAGGATAATAGGAAAATAAAAACTAAATAGTTTACCGGTCCTCTTGTTAGTACAAAAAATTTGTTATTATTAATAAACTACACATTTTTGTTTAAAAACTCCTCAAAATAATTTTCTAGATGTGGCAAAGCTCCCTTTGAATATTTACAAATAAAATAAACTTCAAATATCCATTCTTGTCAAACAAATAAAATTGAAACAACCTTCTATTTTTTAAATCATGTTCATATCAGTGTGACCAGGTCTCAAAAA